AACTGTCAAATTCAGAACCATCATCAAATTTACAAACTATTTTTTCCGGATTGTTAGATTTGAAAGACCTGATAGAAATAAAAAGGCATGGTGCAGTAGAAAATAGCACTGTCGTTGTTCAATAGGTCGTGAGTTCGACTCTTCCGATGGGACAACTAGTCCCTCTATAACTCGTTCTTTTGTATCTATGGTAAAATTGGTACTGGCGTACGCAGGAGAGTCAAACCCGCCATCAGCTTGCTTGTAAGCACTGTTGATGGAGAGAGGCATCGGTAGCTTTACCGACCGGTGGTTGCTGCTGGCATTTGCAATTATTCAGAGAGATGAGTGCTTCCGCTTCTCACAAAGAGTGAACATGAAAAGGGTTCTGACTTTTCACTTGATAAAAAAATGAACAAAGTTGAACACTCTACTTTCTTATCTCATTTTCTAAAAATAACAGGAAAAATACGCGCTAGTATGGAACCACGGATCAGTATCCTGGCTCCAAGCTCTTCAAACTCCGTAATTTGTGTAAAATACGACAAAATTTTCTTCGTACTTCACTTTCTACGAGAGATAAAAGCGCTTAAGGATTTTCGGCACCGTCGCTTGTCGTCAACCACCTCTCTTTGCAAGACTGTCGACGGTTTCTTCTTCTGAGAGTTACGCACGGTCTAAGAATGCCTAATGACTTTGTGTTTAGCAAAAAATTGTTAGAAAAATTCCTTTTTTCGGAAATTCATGAAGAATTCTTTCTCTAGGAGCATAAGAAAAATCCTCTTTATGCTCCAGTTCACTTCGTGCTTTTGCGGCAAAAATTTTAAATTACGTCAGGATGAGCAACAGCTATTACTGGCCTGGAAAGATGAAATCGCTCGAACTGATCTTTTATAATTTGTAGATTATCACAATGCACTGGATAATTCTAAAGGGTTTATAAAAAAGATTTGATGCGTCAAAAATCATCGGAAATTGCCGAAATATTTAGTCGCTATGAAGCGATGAAAAGTATCGCTCCTGAATTGGTGCTGCATACAAATTCCTCAAACTAATCGTATTTTTCTTTCTTTTCCTCCCCCTCTTTTCTCCTTCCTGTTTTTCATTTTCCCTATCACTCTTTAAAAAAATCAAATAATTTTTTTGAACAAGTTTCACACGAAAATTCCAGGCGATTTTCCTGCTCTGCATTGAATAGTTGCAGTCAGATTCTTTCAAAACATCAACCCCAGCAGGAATCAGCGGATCTAAGAAAAATTTTTGGTTTTTCAGTTGGAAATATAAACCGGTTCAACTAAAAAACAAAAAACATAGAGACAACCAGGTGTGAAGATCCCATTTTGGAACATGAAATCTATTTTCCGGAATAACTAGATTATTAAGATTAAGGTGGAAGTAAGCAATTCAGGATTGGAAGGCCGGGACAATCTGTGTTGGTATTCGATGTTAGTTATGTTACTGGGATGCTACGCCAGGACCTTTAATCCTGAATTCTTTATGTTACACATATGCGCTTTACAATCTATTTCTTTCCTCTTTCCTCTTTTCACCTTCTCACTACAACTCATCGTTCCATTCATCCATTACATACATCTAACATGCTTTTTCTGACTTTAAGCAAAAAATGCAGTTTATTTGAAAATTAGCAGAAATAGTCCGAAACTCTTCGTAAAATACAGTGCTCCATGATATGTATTAAGATTAAGGTGGAAGTAAGCAAAAAAAGGTGGAAGTACTCATTTCATTTTCAATTTCTACGCACCATCACAATAATTGATGGTTGTCACTCCTTTTGCCTCCCTACCTTTTGCTCTTTTTCAGCAC